ATCTTAAAACTTCTCATCACAAGTAAAAAATGTGCAACTCTGTATAGTGATGTTAACTAGATTTATTGTGGTGAGCATTATACAATACACTTGAATATCAAGTCAGTGTGTTGCACATCTGAAACTAATATACTGTTCTATGTAATTACATCTCAATAAAAAAATGGATAACAAGCCAATAGCAGATAATCAAGCCATAAATCTATGAAGAAGTTTGCCAAATGTTCTCCCAAGAAGCACAGAATACACCTGAGTGATCCCTCTGTTCCCACCCTAAAATTTCTTTGATTCTATTTAAATCATCTTTTTTTGGGAGCCTCCCTGGTGGCGCAAGGGGTTAAGATGCAACCTATGAAGCTATCTGCAGCCACTGCAGCATGAGTTTGATCCCCAGCCAGGGAGCTACCCACAGGGCAGAGCAGACCTCTGCTGTCTCGCCCTCTACTCCCCTCAGCAGTGTATTTCAGTAGATCTGCCTGTTCTGCTCCCCACTCTGTCTTTGGTGGGTCCTCTCACCCCCCACATCTCTGGCCTGCACCCCAGCTCTTGAATGCATAAATAAATAAATCTTTTAAAAAAACATCTTTTTTTGAATATGTGATTGATATGTAGTCTCTGAATTCAGGTTAATCAGCATCAGGTATGCCTGGATGCCAGGGCTGGAGTGCCCCTTTCTAGGAAGCTCTCCAGTCCCACCAAATCAAGTAGAAAGGGTGCATTTCTGCATAATCTGAAGCTTGACCTAATTTCTCAGAACGGGCAAGCCCCTAGAGCAGCAGTTCTTGCCCTAGAAAACGGCCACAGTGCCCAGATGTCCAGGGCTATTTTAGGACTTAGAACACTCTGTGATTTATGGTCATTGATTAATTTTTAAGTGAATTCTGCACTCTAGATTTTCCTTCATCCATAGCCTGGTAGTCAGCTCAGAGCTGAGCCTGGCACGGTGGGGTTCTGTGAAACACATAGCTCACCTTCTGTTCTCACTAGTGAGTCACTTTTTTTCTCTAATTGTAAGTGATGAATTAGTATTAGTTCTCATCTACCTTTCCCCCACCACCATGGTATGTGAAAGGATTAGGAAGAGAATTCCGGGTGTCCTTGAAAGAATGGCATACTCTCAGGGCTGAGCACTTTGCTGTCTTTGGCTATGTTTTGGAACCCTCTGTTATGTGATTCCAATTCAGTGTCAAGCTTTGCATCAACAGCAAAGACTCACAACAAAGTTATTTGGAGGTTAAACTTTCACAAGCACCTGCATTAAATGTCCAGTCAGAAAGCTTAGTTCGTAGGTCAATTCCACCCCTCATCCTCCCAGACACACAGAATAATGGAAAGCGCCAGCAGTGAAAAGGTTAAGAGAGGACAACGTCTTTTTGCATCTAATCTGACAATTTATTCTAACCCGATGCAACACGAAAAGATTGAGATTAATTTCTCCAAAAGCAGTCATATCAGAAAGACTAATGAGACTTTCACTGTAACACTGGGCCCTTTATAGCCTGTTGTTTAACTACATTGGAATGTTATTCTTTCCATTGCCTTTATGACTGTACTTGGCTTTGAAACTACTGGGTCTTATTTCAGTACAAAACTCTATGTGTCCTTTCTTTTACAGATTTCAAAACATGTAAATCCGTTTTATTCTACAGATTTCCACTGAACCAGAATTTGAGGTGCATGTTTTACCCAGTGGCTGGGCTTCTTTCAGAGTTCCAGAGAGAAGCCTCTGTTCCCATGATAAAGATGAATGGGCACTACTGAACTTTTCCTCAGCATCCCCCTGTGGGGTTATTTCTGAGCATCATGGCCCCCAGGCATGCACCAGTGTGAAGAATCAAGACATTAATTTTGGAAATCTGATGGCTCTGAAACTTCGATCGTGATCGCCGCTTTCTAACTGTCTTTGAAACCTTTTGCCTACAACAGTTGCAAGCTGTGGTTTCTTGTCTGTGTGAGGTGACTAACTTTTCTAACTCTCTCTCTGTGGGGAATGTATTCATCTAGCACCCAAACCACCTACTGACTTCCGGCACCTCTTATCAGCTAAGCCATCGGCCATGAGCTGACATTTCAGCGGTTCAGAAGCTCCCCACCCCCACCTCAAAAATTTAAAAAAGGTGACAGGAGGAGAAAAAGGCTCATTTGGCAATAGTTTGTTCTTGCTGTTTGGCCTGGAGAAAGACATTCAAAGTGGTAGAAGATTGTTTAGTAACAGCTGGCGAGCGCCAGGGTGTGAGGCTGATTTCAGATATGACAGGCACTTACAGGAACGCTGCCAGATACAGCTGTTTAAAAGCCTTAATAAACAGCAAGTCAATACTAATCTTTGCCAAATTAATCTTTTCCCTGACAGCCCATCAGAGCAATTATGTTTAGGCTTATTGTAAACACACAATTGTCAAACAGGGACGCGGCAGTCTTGAAAATACTGTAGTTTGGTTCATAATCTTTCTTTAGAATTTATCCCTTTTTCTCTATAGAATTCTAAGTCTTGCCATTTTGCTTTGCAGTCACTGTGTTTTTTGTTATTTTATTTTTTATTTTTTGGCCTCACCTCAGTGTGATCGAAATTTCACTTTCAAATGTCTTTGTTAGCAAGCTGCTAATGGGAAATGATGCTGTAGGTAGGATTCATGCTGGTGGGCTTCCTTAATATGGGCAACTCTGTCCCTTGCTGAAATACAGCATGTCCTTGTTCTCAGTTGTCTCCCAGTCTCAAACAAGACTTCATCTTCATTTCTTCTTACCTACTACCCTGCAGTCTGGCTCTGGAGACAATTCAGATGTTGAGGAAAGGAGACGTGGGAAGGCAAAGTCTAATGTTTCTGCAGACACAAGGATTTTGAGTGTGTCTATTGGTTTAGAAGTTACCCCCTGCTAGTGTCTTCCTCCTTTGTGACTGGTGATAGTGGGGCTTTTTATGTCCTTTTCCCATCGAATAGTCTTGTGAAAGACTTAGAAACTTTTCTCTTAAGGACGGTTCTTCCATACTGGGACCTGGTTCCAAAGAAACAGGGGAATTTCCTTTGATAATTTCAGAAAAGCGAAAAGCAAAACAAAAACAAAACAAGAAACAAACAAAAAACCCTAGGGTTATTTCTTTCATCTTGGTACAATTTAGGTAGAATCCAGGAAATATTTATTTCATCAAGTCCCACTAACACTTGGTGATTAGAAAAAAACCCAGCATCCTGTTCATCAGTGTCTTAATTTAGCATTCCATAACTTGTCTCCTGAAATTTCTCTCTTATGCTCAGCACTCCTACTTGTCTAGCACCTTTTTTTCTCCTATGCTTCATATTTTCTTGATGTGACTAGTGTACAGTCTCTCTTTTACTTTTGTAAATAGAAACTCTTGTTCAATTATGTGAAAAAAAATATGCACACTCATTTTAAAATTCTTCCTTTCAGTCATTCTGTAACCTTAGATTTCTTACTGAAAAATTTCCATTCTTCACCCCCTAATGCTTGCCTTCAATATTTAATCCTCTTCAATATTTAAAGAGTTTCAAAAATCATCAAAGATCATGTAATTCCTGTTGAGCATAGTTTGCGGTGTTTCATGGATCTGTCTACATATCATTTCATTTATTGTGCACCTACTATGTGCTATGACATTCCAAGTTACTTTGGAGATAAATTATTCAATTTAGGGGAACAAAGAGAAGTATATGTTGGATGACTCACAACAATTCACTTATAGGTGACTCAGTAATAGGTACTTGGGGGTTAAACTTATGATGTGACTACACCTTGCCTTGCTACTATTTCAAGGCAAAAGGTTAATTTCTCTGTGTTTCTATCATTACCTTAAAATGAGAGTTAGGAGTGAAATGAGAAAATGCAGATTAAACCCCCTTTCAACAAGAAAACATTAAGAGAACGTCTGTGTGTAACAAAAACTTTCATGTTCTGGCAGATACCTATTTATTGTAATTTTCCACATAAAAAGTTTACCATACCAAAGAAATAAGGACGTTTACTGGGATTTAACAGAGTATGGTCATTTAAATACTTTTTAATATAATGTATCTGTCAGGACTGATTGAAAATAGAGCAGCTTGTGAGGATACATAACTGATTAGCTCTTTATTTTCTTCTAGACGGTGTGAAGAAATCCTACATCCATTTGAAATTAGATCTAAAGTTGTAGCCAAAATCCAATTTTCTCCAGTTCTCAAACATATTAGGTGGAACCATAAGAAGTTACCTTTTGTAGGTAAAGGGTCAAGTGTGGACAATTTCATATCACTCAACCTAGTTACCTTTCAGAGGTAGTGGTTCTTTTACTAAAAGGCAACATTTCCATGGAAAAATGAAATGGGCTGTTGATGTGTTTATTCTAAACTTCGAATTTATAAATTAAAATAATTTCTTCAATGAGCCTGAGCCAGGAATCACTAATCTTTGTAGTCAGGATTCTCCATGAATCACTCATGTCCATTCAGCTGGGGCTCTTTCCCTTTAAGGCAACAAGATGAAAACAATCACAGAAACCAAATTTTATCTTTAGCTGTGTTCTTTAATTTGACTAACTGGAGTTCATTATTTGACTAATTTTCCATTTTCAACTCATTCACATCTGCATGCACATTGGGATTTTGATTCATTCTATCTTGTGTGTGTTAGAGACACAACTCAGCCTACTCCTACTCACTGTCTATGATTCTTTAATTTTTTCCCCCCAATTAGTAATAAGTTTGATTTCTGTGAGTCAGAAAAGATATTATATGTTCAGTACTGCTGCTGAATGTCTCAGAACGACAACGACTCTACTTGATGTCCAGGAGTCTAGCAGAAGGTTAAAGCAGGGAACTCGAGGTACACCACCACTGTTCTTGGAGTTTCAAACTACCAGCTACTATGTCTAGTCCAGACTTGGGTTTTTTTTAGAGGTGGAGGATTTCTCAGGCAACACCTCACTATACTGGAGCTCAGGCGGATGTGAGGGCATCTCAGTATTTAGGAACAAAACGTCTGTGGCTGTGGAAGCAGTGAACCCCTACGGCACCCCATCTCTTCTGCCATGAAATTTACTTGGGATTTCTCACCTGACTGGGTCTGTCCTTTAGAGATCACTGGCTATTCAAATAGAATACGTTCACACATGATAAGGATTTTTATTTATGATGTATTTGCCTTTATTTACATTTGTTATGTACTGTTTTTGGTAATGAGTTCCAACACTCTCTCTACCCTGGTTGCACTCCTGCTCTAGAAAAGCTATAAACAACATTGTACTTTCTTGTAAAAACTGCCTGTCAAAGTCAAAGCTGTTTGTTCTCATGCTAGTAATTACCATCTCAGTTTAGACTTAATGCAAGTGAAATTTTTATGTTACCATAATATAATAAATAAAAGACATTAGGTAATTAGTAGTGCTGGTATATTTCTAAAATACTAAACAGACAAACAATAAACTGTGAACTTAATCACATGAGTTCTTATACAGTTTCAAGACAGGAAAATTAGAGCTCTCAGCTACAGTCATTTTAATAATCACATTGGATCTGCATTATTTATTAGTTATTACATGCTCAAGTGATTCAAGGTTGTACAATGCCTAAAATCATTCCAAAGCAAGCATACCTTTTGTCTTTTAATTCTGACTGGAGTATACAATGCATATATTTGTATTTAATTAAATTGCTAAGATTATTTCACACATTCCATGAAAGAGACATTATCCATTCTCCTGATTTCCAACCAGACTAGCTTTCTTAATACAATCCCCTGTGAAGGAGTAATTTGCCAGCCCCTTTTGATATAATAGCTCTGCCAACCTTCAGCTAGATTCTCAATGTTTTTGGTTTCCTAGCAAATCCCTTCTACCCTGAGAATTCTCTTGGACGACCCAGGAATTCTAGAAGAGAAGTAGTTTGCCGAGGCACAAAATACAGTAAGAATCTCAATTTCTATCAAAAGTTTTCAAGTTGGAATGCTTTCCCTTTCGTTTTTTTTGTTTGTTTGTTTGTTTGTTTGGTTACTCACCTTTCATTTAGAGTTGTCATCTGGACAGTTTGCTTCCCCTTTCCTTCTTCCCACTCCTGGTTTAATGCCTAAATGTTTTCTGGGTTTTGTGAAAAGCATGCTGTCTGAGGAATTTTGGTTGATTCAACTTTAATTATCTTTTTTGGAGGAGGGGATTTTATAGAATTGACCAAAACCAGCTGAGAACCAAGAAGCAACTGTTTTCATATAGAGAACCGTCTATTTGTTTAGTCTTGGAGCTTGTGTGACTTTTAGGGCAATTCTCTGTTCTATTGTCTGGAGAAAGAAAGTTCTTAAATATCATATTTTTTTTTTCATCAACCAAAAATGTAGAAATAAGGATTGGTAACTTTAGTTTGCTGCTAAATGAAAAGTAGGTTTGGCTTTATTTATGTCACTGTAAAAACTAAATAATAAGTATTCACACCAAGCGTGAATATTTTTTGCCAGCAAAAGTTAAAACATCAAAGAAACCTCTTTCAAATACTAACAAATTTACTTACAAACACCTATATTTATTATTTCATAAATAGGCGCAACAGGTTCCATAAAAAAAGATTAAATACAGACACAGTATGAAGAAACAATAATGCAGAGCCATATGTAAAGGTTGTAATTTAGCGGTTTCCAATCTGTTTCTGCATCTAATAAAATACCAGGTAAGCATTTGGCAGTTTTATACATAAAAGGACTTAAATGACATTTACTAACCATTACACAAAAAGTGATACAAAAAAGCAATTTTTCTGCAGTACAAAATAAATGTGTTTGCACTTCCCTTAACACTAGTTTCTTTTTGTCTGATCAGTGAGACAAAGCCAATTTGTTTTTAAATTAATATCATTTGGGAATACGTTTTTTTTTCAAATATTTTGAAAATATAGAACTATTAGTCAGTTGTCTTAAAAATGAAGTAAAAATATGAATGTTTGCCAATTTAACCCCTATTGTGAAATCAATAAACTGGAATGAGCCAGTTTGAAATTACAATTTAGCTACAAAAACATTCACATTTTATACTCTAGGAGAGTGTGACATAGATGCTATTTACAAACTTGCTATGACTGCTACATCAAGCCATTTAAAAAGTCTTTAGTAGTTTCATATAAACACCCATTATGAAAACCAATGGAAAATCCAGGACTTTTATCCGAGACATCTACAGTTGCTAAGGCAGTTACTATAGCGCAGCACTTCACAGCAAAAAACCAACATAAAATCTGAATGGTCCAAATTTCCTTCAGGGAAGAAGAAAAACAATGTTCATAAAGGATTAAAAAAATAATAAAGAAGCATGACTATTTCTTCCAGAGTGGGTTACCCACAAGCTCAAATGGTCCTAAGTGCTTAGCAACTTGTATTTTCTAATAAAATGGAGAACCGCCTTGACTGTACAAAGCAATCCACGGTGAAAAGACTTCCCTGAATTCTTCAGTGGAAAGAAGAGGTGTTCGGACTTTCAGGTAAGGTACAGTGCTTTGTCCCTCTGCATGCCCCTGTATGAAGAGAGAACGGACAACGTCTTGTTACCAAAAGTGTTTAACAGGTGACCTGGGGATGAGGGGTGTATGTGTGAGTCTACTTGTTCTAGTACAGTTAGTTAACGTACATCTAAAGTGAACAGGGATCTAAAGTCATCTATTCTTGGAACAGCAAGGAACCTGCTTTAAAATTTCGGGAGCAATGTGTTCTGCTTTTCTAGGTGTGGAACGTTTCTAGACCACCTCTCAGAAAGGAGGAAGAAAAGATAGTTCTTTCCCTCAACTAGGGAGCACGGCACGACATGCATGCTATGAGAGGTGTTCACCACCAGATGGCGATGACCGGCCGCTTACCCACTACTGCAGTAGTCGTTATTCCAGTCCACCGGCTGGGCGGGAGGATTTCTGCACCCGGAACGCACATATTCCATTGCTTGGGTGACCACTTGTGCAGTCGTAGATGTAGGATTGATTATAGTCTGATAGTCGGGTTGAAGAGTAAATCCCTGGAAGGGAAAGTGAGCCCACAAATAAGGATCACTTTTTTTTTTTAAAGAAGAAAAGCACCCAAATATTTATCTATTGTTTGCAAACACACAACTGCCTCCTTTCTTGTGCCTCCAGGGTGGGGCGAGGGGCAAGCTTATCAAGAGGCCCAGAAAGCTTAAAACAATGGTAGAAAAGAGTGCTGTATACTTCAGCACTTACCTTTTGTAAAGACCATTTGTCTTACCTTTCCTTCACTTAACCATGTGTTAGAAAACCTTTAGTTACACTCTTGAGCAGAGAAATTGGATTGGGAAACAATTTGAAACATAGAGAAGCCAACTCAATCAAAACAAAGGGAACAGGACCTAAACCCTTCAAAGTTTATGTTTTCTGTTAAACCTAAGGATGCATTAATAGTTAATCCCTCGAATATGCAACAGAATCTCTCTCTCTTTTTTTTTGAAGGATTCAGGCAGCAGGTGGCTGAGTGTTTTATTAGACTACACCTATTCACATATTGTTCTCAAAACCCTTTTTCTTCATTCAGTAACAAAAGGACCATCTGCCTCTTCTTTTATTTGTACTTCTTTCTCAGCTAAAAAATTTCAACCAAAGCTTTTTAACAGTTGTTGGACTAATACAGGGAAAGAGATTCAAAACAGCTTGCCATTGGAGAATACAGAGAAGGAAAAGTGTAAGACAGAACAAATATTTTTAATTGAAAAGTCTATTAATTGGCAAGTAATTATCAGACTTCAGGAACATTCTTCTAATACATTAGTATGGTGAAGTGTTGACTTTTAATCCTAGCAAAGCTATTAAAAATCCAAGGACAGAATCTCTGAAGTACACAGCTATATTGCGTAAACAAAAAGCATTATACTCTAAGATTTATTTTTAGCTTATCTGGTGAATTCAAGAGTAGCATAAGCAAGCTTTGCTGGGAATGACCAAAAAAGCAACTTAATTAATCTCGTGGTTGCCTTTTTCTGCAGCAGATTTCATGCATGGTTTTTAACCACTGAAAAATCAAGAGACTTAAAAATGCATCATTCTCTATTCCCTTACAGGGTGTTTGGGGGCAAAATATTGTTGAATTTCTACCTTAAAAAAACTCAGGAGGATGATCAGAGGATTGTTTTTAACTAAAGATATTTCATGAGACATTTATTTGTGTTTGAGTGTCTTCTGGGTAAAGATTCCAAGATCCCTATTATCAAATGTCCTCTATTTTCAACATTGGCTTTAAGATATTAACTTATTTTCCATTCTAATGATAAAGACTTTACACCAGTGTCCACATAACTCCCACCAAAGCTGTGGATGAAAGACAAACTCTGAATGATTGGAAGCAATTCATTGAAAAGTAGAGAATTCTTCCACACTGGTTTTTTGAGCCTGTAGAGACTAAAAGAAATAGAATATTTCTTAAATTAACAACTGACTTATTGAAATAAGTTTTGTTGAGGCAGACACCACCTGCAGCTCAAGCTGTATACATTTTCTAAACTAGGAAGATAAATAGGAAGAGGAATAACTGGACGTTTGGTTCCCCAGTCCTTTCCGGTCCTATTTCTTCTCTTTCTTCAGACCATCCTATATCTATCATGCAAGGAGTCTCACTGGCTGCAATGCAGCGCATTCACTTCACAATGGTTCAAAAACATTGTCTTTATGGGACTTGTTCAGCTTTCTTGACTTCCTTCTTTAGTGTCTAGTGTGAAGCTGGGCAAGAAAAAGGAAAAACCCCTAAAGTGGGGATCTTTGTGTTGGCTTTCACTTTCACTCCTGGCTGGCCTTTGGAATCTTAAGAACAGAGTGTTTGCATTGCTGATTGAATATTCTCAGGCCTAACACATACTAGTGACTCAATAAATTATGTTTTTCAATAACTAAAGTTTAACACAGACTATTTGATGCTACGGTTGGAAAAGCAAGGGGAGTGTAATGTGCAAATGCCAGGGCTTGCCTATCTTTTGAATGTAAAGTTCTTCATATTGCATTTTGGTACAAGTGACAAAATGAAACACAGAAGTAAACAAGTCTCAAAAATAGAGTAAGATGAAAACATCTTGAGTTAGGTGAAGGTATGGAAACATACGAGAAAGTAAAAAACAAACAAACAAACAGAAACCAGCTTGATTCCATTCTATCCCAAAGAATCCAGCATAAGAAATCATCTTTTTTTCTATTCAATGAAAATGGTTCTTCAAAGTTGGATGAGAGAATATTGGGAGAGCATTAATTTACAAGCTATTAGTTTAAGATTAAATGGATAATCAAAATTTTATGTTATCAACAAAGTTCAAAGTTTTAAAAATTCAGCTAACTTCAGTGCCTACATTTAAGATCACTAATATTAAAACAACCACGGTCCAAGAAAAACATAAGCAAGAAAAATATATGCAAAGTCTGAAGTAACATTATTTTACTTGCTTTCAATTTAAAAAATGAAACATTCTTCAGAACACCATATGAAGACATGCCGAGGTCAAACCTAGAGCTAAGTACATTTTTATTATTGATGCAAATATGAAACAACAATGATGATATAAATTTTTTGAAAAATGTTTGCTTAGCAGTCTAATTAAACAAGACTGAATATTTTGCATTTTAATGCTCAAGAGAAAAATCACCAACTGTTTTGTAGCATGCCTGGAATTCTAAATTTCATTTTCTGGTGCCAGATTGAAATAAAAATAGGAAACATGATAAAGATTAATTTGATGTCAGAAGGGACATTTGCTCTTTAATTAGATTTCTGTAGCCCTAGCAGTCTTGTTGTGCCACCATCGCAAGTCCTAAAGAGCCTGCAGCACAACCAAACAGTGATCCTCATATCCACACTTTACTGGGAACTAATTTCATTTCCTGCCTGTCTGGAGAGGTATTTTCAACAGGCATCAATGTTTTTGTCTTCACAACTGATTTATTCATCAATCTCAATGTGATTTTTTTAAACCTTTAAATTACACCCAAATCCTAAAGCAGCTGTTTATTACACAAGGAAATTGAAAATCTGTCTGTGTGATATCATACAAAGATTTTTTTTCTTAAGGTTATAAAGGAAGTTGACAGATATTAATGATTTTTTTCTCTTGACCTCATTCAACAATATAGTGAACAGAAAAAAAGGGAAGAAAACTAGACCAAAAACAGCAGGTCCCTGGGTTTAGTGTATAAAATATTATTCCAGAAAAAAAATGAAACTATTATTCCTGGTAAACTATACAATCATTTTTGTAAGATATATTCATTTTGAAAAGGATAATAAAATAGCTAAAATTATACTGAAATGTGAGTGACTTTTAAAATACAGTAACTGTTGACTTTCTTTTTCTATTAGGAAGCAAACATCTTCAGCATAAAGGTGGTTTGGATGATAAGTCAAGCAGGTCAAATTTATCCACAACCTGGTGTTGTAGCCACAGGCCAAGACCACCACTGGTGACTTGAACTTTGGCTCTGCCAGACTGTTGTGATTGGAATAAATTGAGTGTCATCAAGGTTGATAAACTCTGATCCTGATTTTAGGATTTTTAATGTGTTGGGGTTGTCTGTCCCCATGACCCTCAGGATCCTAGTCCAATGACTGGTTCATGAATCTGACCGCATGGCCCATCGGACTCCCCATCAGACTCTTTACCATCTCCTAGAAAAGCCATGCTCCTCCCCATCTTAGTCCTTCCAGCTCAGAGCCTTTCTTTCCTTGCTACTGCTCTTTACTGGTCTTTCCCCCACACCCTTCTCACCTTCCCAATTTTAAGGGCTTCCTTCTCTCTCATCCTTCAGGTATCTGTGCCTGTTCTTGTTAGGGACCTTCTGTATCCATCCCAGCTAAAGGCTCTGGCTTTCTTCCATCTCCCTGTAGTTTGTCCTCCTGTTTTCATTTGCTCACAGACTCTTAATAATTTATCGGTTTATCTTATTACCATCCATTATTCCCTGCCCACCCCAACTCTGTTATGAGCTCCGTGGGGGGAGGGGGGTGGGCAGTGACCTCATTACCTCTTCAAATTTATCATTCAATTTCCAGAACCTAGACAGTGCCTGGCATGTGCTAGGAGATCAATGATCTGTATTTGACTCAACAAAAGAAATTGAGATTCTACAAACCAACATGTAATTTCTTCCAATATTTAAACATTTTTACTATCTGTGCTTTCAATTGTACAACTGACTACCTAACATGACCAAGGCATTGTTAAAAGTGATGTTAGTCACTATAGTCTTTGCAGCTATTTACTCTCCATTTTGGGTTTATGACATTTAGTCTTTTATTATTAATATCAATTGAATCAGGTTCTACCATCTCAGTAAGAACACTTATTGAGATATAAGTCAGTAAGAACTGACTTACAGATTGATGAATAACTTGTCCAGTGTAATCTGTTCTATTTTTTTCCTATTCAGTTAAGATTCTACAAGGAACAGCAAATCTTTGCTGTTTTCATATGTGGCCTGACATAAATCTGACATGTTTGAAACTATTCAGGGTCACAGTCAGCTCCTCTAAGGTATCAGTTTAAATAGACAAAGGAACCATCTCCTAGTGAATACATGAGATTAAAATGCATCTTCTCTGGACAGATCTCAAGCCTTGAACTTAGAGAAGGACTATGCTCTCTATAGTCCTTCTTTGAGAAGCAACAGCCCTGAACTACAGCATCATTAACAGAACAGTGGCCCTCAGCCAATGCAGCACCCTTAGACTGGAGTCAACTCACACACCTGAAAGTTGTGTCCCTCAAAGCATTAATTTTTTATGCAAATATGATTGGATCTTTAAAATGGAAGGTATGACCCACGAGAGTCCCTTTCTTGAGAGTGATGTCTGTTGGAGTGTGGAAATTTGACATCATGAATATCACTTGCTGTAGATAAAGGCATGATGGTAGAAATCACCTCTTTTTCCTTAGTAAGTCAACAACTAGCTGATGAATGTAGGTAAGTCAGTCATGGGGCATTATCAATATCCTTGACTTAGAGAACAAGGAAGATTTCAGTAAAGAAATAGGTCCCTATGCTCTTCATGACCATTTCTTAGAACCAGCTAGGATTGAAAGACCCTCCAAATTCTTTAGAATCACAAATTCTCCAATGTGAACCAGAATAGTCTGCAGGAAGGATTATGAGTGAGAGGCTCACTCACTGTGAGTGAGAGACTCTGATTTCTGAATAGACCTTGGATTGATTTTCATCTCTGACCTATGGGCACTAAACTTGGCCAAGCCTCAGATTCCTCACCTATAAAATAAAGGTAATGCTAGTATCTGCATTATAAGTTGAGAATTAAAGATGAGCTAAGGTAATATATTAAGGTTTGTTAATGTTAGCTCTAGAAAGCCTGTCTATAAGTGTAATAATAAAATGACATTTGATTCCTCTTTCTGCCTCTCCTTTACCCCACCCTAGTCCTACTATAGACTCAAATTCTACAGAGGGCTAGATTTCAATTCTAAAGGAAGGTTATGTTTGCATATTTCATTATAGCTCTGGGAAAAACAAAGTAATTGGATTACAAAAGTGATAGATGAATTTGATATGATTTGTTATTTTTACTCTGACCAATTTTTTAAAACTAGATTTTCAAATTTTTGAATGTTTTGTGTTTAGTTTATACCATTTGCTCCTCATTTTGAACATTTAAAATAACACCAACATTCAAAAGTAAAACTTTATTTCAAAGAAAACTTAAGCTAAGATTGCACACACAACTGGTTTCAATAATTGAGGAGTGGGCAGGGAGGCTTTCAAACTTCCTGTGTTTTTCCAATCTGCAGAAGCCAGATCGCCATTTAAAAATAAACCTTTGGCTTAAATATTCACTTCTCAGAATTTTAAAGTTGTACCAAATTTGACATTTCTGACCAGAAACAGTGGGCCTGATTTCTTTTTGCAGCATTTATTGGACTCAATAGGCTTATTAATCAAGACTTTCTCATTTTGGCCTGATTTTTTTTTTTAAATGCATCTATTCCACAAAGATCTTTAGAATTGTTGGCACCTCAATATAAATGTACTTTACACAAAAAGGCACAAAACAAGAAGGTTGGTTAGAAAACTAAAGAATCATATACATCATGGGAAAGACACGAGTGCTTATGAAAAGAAGCACTCAACTATCAATTGCTGTGCTCATACAATGCTGCACAAACACAACTGTAAATTATATTTTTCAGAAAGCAGATATTTGTTGAGTATTTTTGATTATGCTCTCGATTAGGAAAGAAAGCACAGATCATCTCACTTGTGGGGTACACAGCCCCTTCCCTCCCAGCTCTTCTGGAGAGGAGAGCCATGCTTACACGTACCTGCTGCATGGTGGGAGAATGTAAGGCAGACTGGACCTGCATGGGGAGCTGGTTCCCAAGGGGCTGCTGCATGGCGAGTGGCTGGTGCTGTTGCATGTTGAGATGCTGGTGAAGAGGTGGACTGATCTGGAGGGGAGGCGGGGGGGACACGGCCATATTTGCTATAGAGACAGTCACTGGCATTTGGTTATTCGGCTTGGGTGCTATGCTCCTGGGGAGACTGGGATGCATGGCAGTTAGGTGAGGATTCATTGCTGGTTGTTGGTGATAGTGGGAACTTAGGTACAGAGCTGAGTGGGCCTGGCTGGGCCCATGAAACACTGACGGCTTTGAATTGATCAGCTGAGGAGGTTGAGATGTCTTAACATCAACAGGTTCGCTGTAGCTCTGTTGAGGAAACAAAGAGCAGAGTTAAGAGACTGGTATACATGGTGTTGATTTCTGTAAGCAAGACACTCATGTGAGTTTTACTCACGAGCTTTCCCATGAGTCCATGCCCATACTCTTCTTGATTTTCTGATCTAAGAACTTCTCCACTATTATTTGTAACATGACTGATGCAAGACAAGCTTATTTTATTTCTGTGATGAAATCTAACAATCTATGATGACATTAATTTTTAACTTGGTGACTTTTCTCATCATCCAAATAATGATTTAAAAAAAAAAATGAAATGTGGGGTTGAGGTCATCACTGCCTTAGTAGGATATATAAGCACAACTCACTTTGAAAGTAATTCAGTTCTAGGACTTCCCTATTGACTGTTTATGTTTAGTTTTTTGTTTCCCATTTTATCTTCTCAAAGAGCCTTGACTTCGATATTTATACAAAGAAAGCAAAGATGGTGGATGGAAACGGATATGGAAAAAAAATGTATTCTAAAATACCTCTGAAGTTGTGTAAAACCACACTAATAGAGCTTCAAAGTAACCATAGAATTTAACTTATTTTTAAAAAAGACATTGGTGATGAATTATTCCCTGTAATGAACTAGATAAAAATAATCTCTCTTAGAAATTTTAGAATCCATCATAAATTAATATAATTTTTTTCACACCTTCGCATGGTCATTTCCTAATAATCTTTTAATTGACCTAAGAACTAGATATTTCAGTGGAAGCTGTAAAGAAGCAAGAATTAACCCTGAGGCATTTCCTCTTGGCTCTGAACCTGCTACTCCCTCCAACTTCTGCTGAGAGAAAGAGGTTGATAAAACACATAGGGAAAGGAGAAACCAGCAGGAGAAAGAAAATGATAAAATGTGCTTCTGGAGAAAGTCACTTTATCAAGACAAGGTCATGTAAATGCACATATGCCCTTATTCTGTGACCTCCATGTCACGTTTATTCAGTTTAAAAGTCAAAATTAGTTTCTTACTCTCCACACTGCAGGTCCTTCCTGAGGATCTCTGTTCTGTGCAGCCCAACTGACAGGCAGGTTAGGGAACTGGTTTATCACATCTGACAACATGAAACTCAACATGGGAACACTTCATAAGTCAGCATACAATGTTGCTGGCCACATAAGTCATTTTCCTTCAACAAAGTAGGAAATTGGAGGGAGAAGGATATGGAAAGGGAGGGAAGAGCATGAGGGACTATGGTGATGGTGCACAGGTGAATTGGTGGGAATTTCACAGGGAAATCATACATTGCACAAAAATGAAAGATGTTGTAATATATTTTTAAATATATATATATATAAAATGATAAAAAAAAAACAACAAGAACAAGTTTGCATGTGTGTGCTGACTTGAAGTGGCAGATTGGGGATAAGTGAACCACTAGTCCTATATACATTCTCTGTAGACACAACTGACATCTGTAAAATGATGCAAAATCATAAAAATTGGAGGTCTTACAGAGCTCTGAATATTCCATGCAGAGTACAGAGTAAGGTGTTCCCAAAGTCCTCTAAAGAATCCGGGCCTCCCCGGTGGCGCAGCTGTTGAGTGCTGGGTTGCGAGGCTGCCCGCAGCCTCTGCAGTGCCGGTTCGATGCCTGGCTGCTCAGCTGCCCGGCTGCCCGGCTGCCCGGCTGCCCGGTGAGGGTCCCACATGATGCGCAGACCTCTCCTGCCGCCCGCTGCTCCCCTCAGCAGTGCACTTTGGTCCTTCTGCCTGTTCTGTTCCCCGCTCTGGCTCTGGTGAATTCTCTCACCCTCCCGTGCTTCTGACTGTACCCAGTGTTTGTATAAGTAAATTAATTAATAAAAAAAAATAATTAATAAAAAAAATCCTCTCTTATTTTTCTCTGTGTGAATGTTGAAGCAGCCTTGTCAAATAGAGACATTCTATTCCCTGTCCAGAATTGTCCAAAATTGTTCACAGGAATTTTTAAGGAAAGCTTTTAGAACAAAGAACTTTATTAACTGTAGCCTCATTAAAGGTGTTTTCAATGAAAAAAAAAAATAAGGAACTTTTTTTATTTTTGCTCCCATTTAAAAATTCTCATTGTTGATGTTCAGAATTGTGAACAATTCAAGGAAAAGGCCAAATGGGTTAATTCAGGCTGTGTAAACAGCAAATAGTTCTACATCAGAATAACATGTACTATTTTAAAAGTCATCCCAGATACGTCTAGAAGATTATGTATTTATTGCATGTCTATGTGTTTAAGTCATCTGGGCAAGTGTTTTCATTCTGTCTTCTTTAGAGATAATTTCACATTTAGTCACTTACTATGTCAACTTTATACAAGAAAGATAGCACTATACAACGGCCAGCTATCTATAAAAATAATACATGTAGGGCCTCCCCTGATGGCACAGGTGGTTGTGCAGCTTCTTCAGCGCCGGTTTGATCCCAGCGGCTGGCGAGGGTCCCTCATGGCACAGCAGACCTCTCCTGCCTTGCCTGCTGCTCCCCTCAGCAGTGTATATCGTCAGTCTGCCTGTTCTGCTCCCCGCTCTATTTCTGGCGAATCCTCTCAACCTCCCGCACACCTGGCCTATACCCCGGTTCTTGTATAAAATAAATAAATCTTTAAAAAAATACATGTCAATGTATCTTTATTTTTTGCTTTGAGCTGTTTGTAAACAGAAGGAATATTACTTGTATTTTCCCATGCTATCAGCAAAAGGGAATAAATACAGTGGTAAACTGTTTTCATTTTAAATTCTGTGGTCAATAATCACCTTCTTATGTAGGGCCATGGCATATGCAGTCATTGATATGTAGCCTGTACTTGCCTGAGCATGTGTGTGTATCTAAACAGTGCATATAGATACATGTGTTCTGTTGTCCAGACAGAATCAGACCATTACCCCAGGAATTACAACAATGTAATTAATGAATATATCTGCCTAAATAAAACAAACCTAAAGAAATATGCTTATGCTGCACTTCGGACCAATGCAAATAAGGACAGATGCTCAGCAAGGTGCGGGCTGGGAGCTGTTTCTGGCCAGCAGTTCTAAGTACAATACCCTGTTTGTCCTGACACACACTCTTCCAAATTGTAGGAGCAGGTGTTTGTGGGAAAAAGTCTTTTGGAAAAGCATGGGTCTGTGATAAAATGTGTGGAAAACAGCAGTGAGCTACAGAAAGTCCCTATAGCAGGACTTCTCTGGGCCTTTCTATGTCAATGTATGTGGTGAACCTTCATGCGGGAACCACAGGAATCTTTTCTCACTGGGTGATTTCATGGACATAGTCTTCAATGGAAAACAGTGGTTCAGAAGAATTACTGAATTACACACACATATTTAAAATGGCAACTAGAACATACATTTCAATTTAATTTGTCACAGTTCTTGCCTCACATAAACTCGTTTTTATAGTTCCAAAATGCACATATAAGTTACATATACCCAGGTATGATACTAAAATAATCTATTTCATGTTTACTGCAATACTACCCACCTGGTGAATTTCATATTCCAGACTAAACACAGTGACAGATTTTTCCTACAGGAAATAGGAACATGGGAGCTTCGCAATTACAGTCTAGAAGAGCTATGATACGGACAAGTTAAGGGTTTTCTTTAGTGTTAAATCCAAAATAAACAATGAATCTAATTTTCCGGAATCAATCTTTAAATCAGAGCATGTAGTCCACCATATAGATAGATGGCATTTTTATTTCTATTTTTTTTAAGATTTTATTTATTTATACATGTGTTGGGGTACAGGCCAGAGGCGTGGGAGGGTGAGAGGATTCACCAGAGACAGAGCGGGCTGCAGAACAGATAGATGGACCGAAAGCACTGCTGAGGGGAGCAGAGGGCAAGACAGGAGAGGTCTGCCACGTAGATGGCATTTTTACAGGCAGCAATAGAGACATGTAGGCCTACAAGAATAGATAGCAACCTAATTGGAGATACTTTCTTGCCAACTTTGTAGATTCCCTCTTCCCATGCTAAGTATGAACATGAACATTCTGTCTACCCAGTCATTATTTTGACATGTATCTCCTTCATACTAAAGTCTATGAAGATTTGTACTGATAAACTTATTTTGAAATAGTAATAACTTTAAATCACTTAGAAGGACTCTAGATAAACAAAGAGATTTCCAAATATAATGACTGACACACTTAGAACATAATTTTTAACATAAGGGAGAAAGAAGGTTAGGAAGTTGTAAGTTTTCTTTTTACCTTGTGACAAGAGTTGTCAAGTTATGTACCTAGACATGGCAGACACGCTGATGGGGTTCTCTCCCTATATTCTCTTCACGATGATGTCTACATCACCAAGGAAAGGATTTTTTTTTTAAAGATTTTTTAAAATTTATTTTATGCATACAAGAACTGGGGTACAGCCCAGAAATGTGGGATGTGAGAAGATTCACCAAAGACAGAGTGGGGAGCAGAATAGGCAGATTTACTGAAGTACACTGCTGAGGGGAGCAATGGGTGAGACAAGAGAGGTCTGCCATGCCATGTGGGCAGCTCCCTGGTGGGATTGAACTCAGGCCCTCAGGCCACAGTGGCTGGCCATAGCTTGATAGTGCTGCTGACTTAACCCCTGCGTGACCAGGAAGGCCCAGGAAAATATTTTCTTAATGGCAGGGATTCAATCTCTATAGTCCATGCAGCTGGCACTGTGCCAAGTAAACAGAGCACACAGTTTGTTGAATGACTCTTCTTGAACAATACTTCATGCAGTCACTGTTGCCCTTGCTGAGATTCTTGACAAGATATGTATTTCTCTTCCAAGGGTTGAGGAAAGAAAGATATGACATCTGTGAAAACTGATAGAATGTCAGATTGACATTCTGCCCTCTTCTTTCCTCAGCATGAAATCTCTCTGCTCTCACCACACCCTTCCTGAAGTGATGAGAAGTTACAACATTAAGGTCTGTGTTTTGATTTGAGTCCCTGCCTTTTATTCTCCACTGGATTTTGGGTGGATGGTAGGTAGCAGGGAAGTTTAGTGAGTTTCAT